GCAACACATGCAATGCTATCCCCTTCTCATTCTGCCTCTTTGATTCTTTTAAATCACCATTTTAAGCAAAAACTCATATAAATTTAATAAAAATATTTATAAATTAATAAAATAGATGAATAATAAGAAATGATTGTTACAATTAAACAATTAAAAATAAGTGAATACAATATTAAAATTGTGAAATATTGCATTAATATAAGGAAAAACCAACACACTTAAAATTTAAATTAAAATTACAAATATTAAAAAATAAAAAGTGCTTGGAAAATTAACACTTAAAAAATTGCAAACTAGCGCTGTGGCCCGCTACAATGGACAGCTATCGTCCATTTCTCCCGCGCTGCAGAACCAGAAAATTGCCGCACGCGCAATGTGTGTTGCGGCTTCCGGCCCGCTTGGCTCCCTGCATTGGTCCTTTGCCGCAAGGCGTGCAACGACTTCTGGCACGGCGGGATTCTTCCCCACCCCCACCCCACTGCAAATGGCCTAAGTAAACAAAATAGAAACATATGGGGTTATTGTTGATAGCTGTGGTTATTAATTTATGATTAGTTTATCAACATATTTTTTGTAAAATGACTTAAATGAGAGACATTTCAGAAATATTCATAAAAATTAGGGATAGTTTTATAAATGATTTGGGATCTATTGAAATAAACTAACCTGGGAGTTGAATTAGCAAAGTGTTTGTCTGAATACTACAATTGTTGTTTTTTTTTAAAAAAAATTCAGAGCTTCAACCACGAATGGAAATAACATGTTTAAATTTAAGAATGTTTTGTAAAGAGAACTCCAACAATTATCAATTGGCCATGCAGGCATTGTTTGTTGATTCTAAACGAGCCATCCGGTTATCATCTTAGTCCCTAAGCCTTTTATAGGAGGATGTTAAATATTCGAGAGTAAATTTCTAAAATAGTTCTTTGTAATAAGGTGCTTTATCAAATCAATCCTCAATAAATTTTAATTACCTGTGTGGTCATTTATAATTGAGATTTATTCTCAGGATGGTCTTTCGTAAATAATGTTACTCAAATGAGGATTAATTGAGAGTATTTTGGTATTTTTTATCTGCTAATTTTAGAATTAATTTTCAACATAATCATTTATAATGAAGTGCTTTCCCAAAATGATTTTTTCTAATTAAAGATGTGTATTTGATTTAAAATTTAAAAGATTTTTTATAAGTTTTATATAATCATGAATTATTTATAGGCAATGTATTTTTTTAAATTTACATTTAGTTGTACATAAATAATTGTTTCAAAAATATATTTTAAATTTGGATGATCAAAATACTAAAATGTCTCTCAATTAATTATCATTTGAGTAACATTATTTATAAAAAACTATCTTGGGAATTTATCTCAACTATAGAGAACTATGTAGGTAATAAAAACTTATTAAAGACTAAATTGAGAAAACATGTTATTACAAAGGGACTATTTTGGGAATTTATTCCATATTCCGCATTTTGGAAAGAATTTAAAAAAGCGATGGGCTTCAATCTAGAGATGACGAGCTTTAGCAGCAGTCCAGTTAAAAATAGTTTGGGCTTCAATTTAGTGTGACCAAACGTTAGCATCAAGCCCATTACGTGTCCTCGAGACCTACTTTACCGTGGAGGTATATACATATACCCCTTAGAAACCCTAGTCCTCTTACGATCGAGTCGTCTTCAACCTCCAGCCGCGAGCCAGAACCAGGGAGCATTCCATTCCGAAGGTAAGAGCCTCAAACTATTAGAATCTGTGGTTTATTTGCTAGATTTTAAGGTTTCGTTTTCGATTTGCTTGACTTGATTGTCATCACTTCTGAGTTTTTGTCCCGGATCTTGTTAACTCCTGAATCTGTTGGTCATTTTGGTCCATTTTCCGCTAGATTACGATCATTTTAATTATATAGAATGAACCAGTGAGTTTTTCATTTGATATGAGTTTAGTAAATCTTTTTGTATTTTTTTCGCCTCTAGATAACAATGATCGTTGTTATTATGAATGTACCAGTACATTTTTCATTTGATATGTGTTAAGTAAATCTTTTGGCCTTGTTTCGGCCCTGTGTGGGTTAATTTGTGTTGTTTGTCTTTGAAATTGATTCCTGAACTTATATTTTTTCCTGAATGCTTGATCTAAATCATCCGGCCGGTCACTTCCATAGATCCAGATGGCTGAAGCTCAAAATGCAGCCCCATGTGTCCCTGAGTCCGTATTGAAGAAGCAGAAGAGGGAGCAAGAGTGGGCTCTGGTCAAGAAACAAGAAATTGATGCTACCAGGAAGAAGAATCTCCTTAAACGGAAGGTCATTTACCAGAGAGCTAAGCAATACAGTGAGGAATATGAAAAACAGCTTCGGGATATTGTTCTGTTCAAGCGCCAGGCTCGCCTGAAAGGAGGCTTCTATGTCTGCCCTGAACCCAAATTGCTGTTCATCATACGTATCCGTGGTATCAATGCGATGAACCCAAACACCAAGAAGATTCTGCAGCTTCTTCGTCTCAGGCAGATATTCAATGGTGTGTTCCTGAAGGTTAACAAAGCCACAACCAACATGTTGCACAAGGTTGAGCCATATGTGACCTTTGGGTACCCTAACTTGAAGAGCGTTAGGGAGTTGATCTACAAGAGGGGATATGGCAAGGTCAAGAAGGACAGGATCCCCTTGACCGACAACTCCATCATTGAGCAGGTGCTTGGCAAGCACGACATCATCTGCATTGAAGATTTGGTCCATGAGATCTTCACAGTGGGGCCACACTTCAAGGAAGCCAACAATTTCCTGTGGCCGTTCCAACTTAAGGCCCCGCTCGGTGGCCTCAAGAAGAAGCGAAACCACTATGTGGAAGGTGGAGATGCCGGCAACAGGGAGGATTACATCAACGAATTGATCAGAAGGATGAACTAAATCAGAGGCTCTTCGGTGTCTGCTTGCTAAGAGTTTGAAACTTTGTTTTGCTTTTTGATTCGGTGTTTAGTTTATGTTTGAACTGCTTGATGTTTATGGGTCTGCATTTTGAAACTCATGTCGGATTTATTTTAGTGCTAATCAAGTTTTGCATTCTGCTGTGGCGAATGCTTCTTTGAAAGGACAAATCAACTCAAAGTTTTGCATTCCTTGTGAAATAAATGGATTTAGTAAAATAGACTCTGCATTTGGAATGGACCAAGGAAGAGGATACTCTGATTCAGTTTAACCCATCTCATATAGACATTTTAGAGTACATTCTAAGAGTACATTTGGTAACTAGAAGGTAAACCCGAGTGCCGAATGATTGATTGTAAAGATTGATCATCCCTGGTCTCTTTACCAATTGTATTTCTCTAGTAGTGTTAAATAGACCTGTTGGTGAGTCTTTAGCATGATTCTTTTATTGTTCTCAAGGGTCTTAAACATGATTCTTTTATTGTTCTTAATGCTCCTTTCATAGCTAAATCCTAAGGCAGGTGTTAGGGTTGTTAAAAGTAGGGTTTAGTGTTAGGACTTATCCTTGCATAGGAACGATATTTTGTTTACCCAACAAAAAGGGCATTGGATATTATACTATGGAGTAGTTCATAAAATTCACACTTCAGTATATTGAGGTTTTGGCACACAATTCAAAATATGAAATTAGAATTTGGGACAATATTTTTTGTTTTGTTGTTTGTAGTACAAAAACATGTAGATTTGAATTTGATTGTGTCAAAAATGAATTAGAAATGGACAATTCAATTCCACATAAATCTATTTTATAGAATTTCAAGTATTAATTCAATTTCAATTTTGTCAATTTTGTGTACCAAATAGATCTAAGTCCATTTGAAAGTGTTGTGATTTATAAAAATGCCAAGTCTGAATTTTGTTTAGATTTCTTTGTTTGGTGAATTTTAGAAGGCTGATATGTAGCATGTGAATATTTAAAATAATTTGAATTCTAAAGTTTGGATTGAAATTATTTGAGCGATTTGAAATGCTGACTTTTAATACGGTAAGAGTGACCGGCAAGGGAATTGTCAGTAGCAATTAGCCAGGGATAGTGATAGTCCGTGGTGGGAGTGGTTGACGGTTGAGGGAGAAATCCGAACTCTCTTATTTTGGAGGTTTGCGATATCATTAAATGATTTTTTACCTTTCATTTCATGATTTTTAATAACAAGTATTGTATAATTCTTTGATTTTCATGATTTTTAATAACAAGTATTGAATAATGGATAAAGAGTTGGGAGTTGATAAAAAAGGGAAAATCTTCTTTAGCCACATGTTCTTGTTTTAGCCACATTCTTTTTATTTTTTTTACAAAATATTGAAACTTATTTTTGCACGGTCGAAAAAGGAAAGAAAAAAACCATTTAAGGAGAGACGGAGTATAGAAATATCTAATTTGAATGCGACAAATTCTATGGTGGACCTAAATATGAGTAAAATATGTATTCCTTTATTACTTAAATAAGCATCTATTTTTTTAATTAAAATAATTTTGAAAAAAATTTCCATAAAAACGGCATGCACCCAAGGTATAATAAAAAAGCACTCTTTGAATACTCCCTATAATTTACCACCTCCGTCTCCAAATAAATTTTACACTTTGTTTTTCTTGACGCCTATAATTAATTTTTACAGTTCTTAGTTTTCCTATTTTGGAGAACAAGTATTTCCTTTGTTCCATAAAGATGTTTCCATTTTGATTTTTAAGAAATTTAAGGTATGAATATTTTGGTGTTGAATTTCCAAAAATATCATTAACGTGAAGGGTAAAGTATGATGGGGTGAGTATATTATTAATAAAATGATATGAAGTGATAGATAAGATAAGAATTAATAAGAATAAAATAGTTTTTAAATAAAAAATTAAAGTATTTTGTAAAACAAGAAACAATTAATTAAATAACATAATAGAGTAGTTACATTCTTTTTAGGAGGGAGTAGAAGTTAGGCCATCCCTTCCCATCCCACACTCTTCTTCCTTCCCTCTCTCCTCTAACAGAAATGCTTCAGGCTTCAGCATACATATGCATTCACACCGGAGACACTCCATTTCTACCCACATATCCCCCATTATATACATGCCATAGCTCACAATATGTTTCCTCAGATTCTATTCCCCAAAATGCCTTCTTTCTCTTCCACCTAAACGATGCTATATCCTCTCTGTTCATCGCCGCCCATTTCACCATAGCCCCATACCTTCAATTCCACTTCATCATCATCGTCGTCGTCATCATGATGGTGTGTTGTTCTTCAAGCTGAATCCGAGGTGTGTGACACAGCTCCGCATCTTGATTCATTTGATGGATTTTTGTTATTTATTTTTTCACTTGATTTTAGTAGGAATTACTGGCGCGATATTATCTGTTTGGATGCTCTTTGCGTGTCTGTGTGTGTTATTCTAGAGATCATTAGCCCCTTTTTGTTGTTTCTCCTCTTATTGTGATGAGAAAGCATTTTTTGGTCCAATTGAAAAAAACCAATGAGTTCTGTGTTCTCTAAACCAATTCTTATGCTGTGTGTTAGAGCGCGCACAGTGTTTTAGGGGGGGGGGGGATGAAAAACGCTCATTTGAGCTCGTAATTTATCAGTTATTCAAGATTTCAGCTATCATATATGGAGTGCCAGTGTAATTGAATTATGAAAGGGATAAAAAAGGACACACTGCTAACATGGAGATTAAGGTCTTCATTTTTAATACTAATTCTCATTGCTTAATGTGTTGCAGCTTGTATGGCATATTAGTGAATGTGATGGAATTGCAACCATAGAGGACGATGATGAAGAAAATAAGTGTCTTGTCTGAATGGGTATGCTTGTATTTATTACTGGTTGATATGGATTTCCATTTCAAGAAATTCAGGAAGGCATTACAAATGCTTAATTGTTCGCTTTTGGAGACTCTAAGTTCCGAGAAAAATGCTATTTGGACTAAATCTTAGTGCTCCCTCAGTCCCAAAAAGGAAATACTTTTCACGCTTAGGATATTGCATTTCATGGGAAGGGGGGAGTGCCAGTTTTTTTTGGTTACCAAATAATGTGGACCGTGTGGCTTGTGACTTGTTCCATGACTTTTCATATTATTGGATAATGGATATTCATGACCAGGTTGACTCCATCACGAGGCGAAAGCTGTCTTAGATGGTATAGAAGTCAACTATCATGCTGTGTAGTGAGACTAAGAAACTCCATTGCAGGGATCATGTGTGGCGAAGCTGAAAGGGTTGCCATTAATGGGAATTATATTTATAGTGATGCTATTTTTTGTATACAGGACAACTGATTTTCAGTATCAAAGGACACAGGTATGCCTGTACACAGATTTTTAAATATATGGGTTTTACCTTGCACTTTCTTATCCATGCTTCAAATATTTTTGGTTTTATTTTTTTCTGAGATGGCCTAAATATCAGAAGTGTTCTCCCATGCATGCTAAAATATTAAAGCATCAGGAATAGTTCTCTTCTATGTTCTATTTTAGGCAGCTTATACTTTTGCATGTTGGGTGTCTTTTCTTTTTCAAGTGTTGTAGTGCTATAGTCCTTTGTATATTAAAGCCATAGAATCTCCTATCTATAATAACCGTATCATGGTAATGTCTTTTAAATTTCTCTTTATCAGTTAGTATATGTAACCGAATATGGCCCTCCTACACTTTAAGTCTTTAAGGGCAGGTAATTTTTGTGCTAAATTGATATCAAATTGACTTTCTTTTTGTTAATAACATTCTTTTCTTGAACTGCAGTTGTTGTAATTGAAATGATATTTTCAAATTGTGATTTCTGAAGTTTGCAACATGCGAGTATGCGACTACATCATTTAATGAACTACATGTTTTAAATATTTCACCTTCCATCTTATCCATATGACAAAGGATAAGATCCAGAATGAGGTTATTCAGGAAAGCATGAGAGTGGTCTATGTGGAATATAGGTTGCAGAAAGCTAGTCTGAGATAGTTTGAGCACGTAATCAGAAGAAATAAGGATGCCCATGCCATAGGCTTGCGGAAGGGAGGCATGAGGAGGGGTAGAGGTAGACCTAGGAAGTGTTGGAATGAAGTGATTAGACAAGACTTACAACTTCATGTTCTTACCGAGTATAACATCTGGAGGTCTAGGATTAGGATGGCCCGGAGGGTGTGCAAAGTGGCCAACTGCACAGGGTCCCTAAAATTTTAGGGCCCCATATTTTTAAATTTGTTAATAATTTTAAAAGAAAAGTATTCTAAAAAAATAAAATAGGGCCCAAAATGTAAATTTAGGACCGGGCCAATTTTATTTTTTCATTTTTCAGGGCCGGCCCGAGTTTGGGCCTTAGCATGTGCTTCCTTGAGGCACACTTTTATGCCTTAGTCTGTGGCTCTGTGTATACACACCCTCAGACCCCACTTTGCGGGATTTTATTGGGTGTGTTGTTGCTGTTGGGATTAAGGCTTGTCTGTTGTTTTATTACCTTTCTTTAATGCTTTCATTGCTCTGATACAGCATTCTAGCATGGCTAGCAAAAGACTAAAAAGTTTGCCTCATAGAGCCAGTGAACCTAGATCAGATCTTGAATTAAAGCCTCTATGGTCAATGAGTTCTTCAAAGGTCTTATTCTTCTTCTAACTGGGCTGATATCAATCAATCAAGTTTTTTTTGGTTACTAATAGCGTGTTATAATAAATACGCCCCTGTCTCCAAAACAAATTTCTAGCATGAATTCATAAAGTTTTAAAAAGTGGTGGAAAATGAAATATGTGTTTGGAATTTGTTTAGAAGAGACAAATGTGGTGAGCCGCATATCTATTTCCTTAAAAGAAAATGAGAAATGTGTGAAGTTTATGCTGAGACGGACAAAAAAGGAAAGCCTGAGTTTATTTTGGGGACAGAGGTAGTATAATAAATGCTATTACACATTTACATCTTTTGGCTCTAAAATCTATTCCCTTCTAGGTTGATGTTCTTGGAGCTCACAACTTGTTGGCAATGCCAGTTGGCATTAAGCAGAAGGATAATGTTGACAAGATTGCTCAAAAGGTACAAACATGTAGTGTGTTTTCCTTATCACTATGGAGTATTTCTTTTTCACGTGTGAAGGATAATCATGCCATATGATTCTTGCCTAATTTTTTTCCCTGTTCAGTTTCTTTCAGAGAATTTCACAATCATATTGTTCCATTATGATGGTAATGTAAGTGGCTGGTGGGATCTGGCATGGACTAAGACGGCCATTCATATAGTGGCTCACAACCAAACAAAATGGTATGTCTAAAGATAACATTATGCGTTGTTCTCTCTAGATGATTTAATCAAGATAGGCATGTGTGTGTGTCGGGGGGGGGGGGGGGGNATTGTTCATGGAGCTTCGTCTGTTTGGAACTTGGAAAATGCTAAGGAAGGAAATCATGGAAGCAAATATGTGAGAAATTTAGAAGGAATGAAAATGTGGAGGAAAGATAAAACATTGGTCCTAACTCAATAAATCCACTTTTAAATGGGTTCACAGTCATTTTGTTCATTTCTTTCTTTTACTCGGTTTATAAATACTAAGAAATCAACACTTACCTTAAAAATAACAAATAAAAGTAATCATGCATAGTATTTAATTTCCCTTTGCATTTTCCGAGATAAAAACAAACATAAGAAAATAATGTTTCTTAGCATTTTCTTTCATATCCCTAACATCTTCCAGGAACCAAACATAGCCTAAAGGAATATGATAATTTCATTACAGGTGGTTTGCAAAGCGTTTTCTGCACCCAGCTGTTGTATGTATTTATGAATACATATTCCTATGGGATGAGGATTTGGGTGTCAAGAAATTTCACCCTGGAAGGTATCAACATTCTGCCCATCTATGGTCTGTATCTGTAAAGTTTTAGTCATCCACTGATATGCTATGAATATCCCTAGAAATTGATCTTTTTATAAGTGATGGCAGTGATGCATAATCATAGGGATATCAAATCAATCCTCTCCGTTTTGAAAGTGTACTTTTTTAAAATTACATGGAAACATTTACTGCCCATTTGGTTGGTATTTATTCCAGATAGGCTGCTTTATCACTTATCAGCCTTATCTGTTAGATTGTTGATCAAACACTAACTTATATCACCATGCTTGCTGATTCAGATGATTATTTAAAAACCAGAACAAAAGTTACCCTTTGGCTGAAATGAGCTAAATTAGTGAATCTCAGTTGATTCGGGAAACATATTACTCTGTATTAAACAAGTACTCCCTCCGTCCACAAATCAACTTCCCGTTCACTATTCACAGGGTCAAACTTTATTCACTTTGTTGGTCTATTTTTGTCACTCATTTGATAAAATAATATAGTCAAGTCAACTCTAGTTTTGTAGATCTTTTGGTATAGTTTTTAATATGTAATTTTTATTTTTAAATTTTACACCATTTTTCATATAAAATGATTTGAAAATAACTTCAGTCAAACATCGTAACGCGCAACGGAAAGTTTATTTGTGGACGGAGGGAGTATTTGAGAAATTCAGCCATATTTGTCACAGTTTCAGCTAACCATGCGACAACAACACCAGTATAATCCCAAATCCATTGGGGTCGAGGAGGCCAAGATGTACTAAGTCTTAGCCCTGCAAAACGGAGAGGTCTCCATTAGACCCTAGATGCATTGCTGCATTTACTTTCCAAAACTTCATCGAAAATAAGAAGCAAAAGAAGTTTATTGTGCCATTTTGATTTAGTCAAGTATGTGCCCGAAACTAAAACATTAAGTGACTCTTTTAGCTCCATTTGGCAATGGACGAAAAAACTCTTCAAACAGCCAACCCTGCCATTTTAACTTTTTTTATGTAACAAACAGACTCTTCAATCTCCAGCCACCTGTGCTAGATTATGCTAGTTATCATTACTTCTGATATCTAAATGAATCACAAATTTTAATTGTATTATTTCAGATACCTTAGAATTGTGAAGTCAGCTGGACTGGAGATATCTCAGCCAGCTCTAGACCCAAATTCAACTGGCATACACCACAGAATCACCATACGACGGAGAACAAAGAAGTTTCACAGGTGAGCATTATTCATATTTCACTTCAAAGTTTCACCACATGGCCTATTCAGTCAAAATAATTATGAACTCTCGTCTTGAGCAGAAAAGTCTATTATGACAGAGGTAGTACAAAATGTTCTGATGAAAGTGAAGGTCCTCCGTGCAGTGGGTAAGCTACCATAGGCGCACAGCTTTATTACGCCATTAGGGATATTCATTCATCACTTGGAGAATATTTATTTGCCACTCTTGGCAACAACTTTCTTTTTTTCTACACTTGGTCCCTCCGACTGATTTACATACAAGTTCCAGATGATTTTCTTCAGGTAAGTGACTGAAAAAGAACCAAATGTGACTTATAAGTCTATAGTTGTGCACTGTGAGTGGAAATAATGAAAATTGGGACCAAAAACAGAAATGGTTTCTTAGTTCGATTAGCTATAAGGTGCATGGGCCTATTTTATTATCTTCTGTATTTTCAGCCTTCTTAGGTTGGACCATGATTAGAGGTCTAACAACTGTAGTTAGGACTTAGGAGCATTGATACCTCTTGGCAAAAAAAATTGGTTTTATAAATGTGGTTTTCATCTGTATATCGTCTCACGATTACAAGCAATATTTAATCATGGTGCTTCTTTTTCATAGATCATGGAAACACATTTTTTTTCAATTTATGTTATGCAGGTTTGTGGAAGGAATGGCTCCAGTCTTTTCAAGGTCTTCATGGCATTGTGTCTGGCATCTTATTCAGGTAAATGGTGCTCTGGATTTCATTATTTACTGAAAGTTTAAAGTATGTTTAGATCCCGTTTGGAGGTAAATTCAGTTGAAATGAGCGGATAAACGGAATTTGCTTATGTTATGCCTAAAATGTAAGATGAGCTTATTAATTTGACATGTCTAAACATGTATATTTTGGTTGGTAATTGCCTAAGATGTACGTATTTGAAATGTATTTTTGAATAGAAGTAAATAGTATCTCAAAGATGAGGGTATAAATGTTTATTATCTTCACTTCTGAAAAAAAGAGTAATGTGTGCACCACATTTTTATAAGTTGATTCAACTAATGCACTCAAATGTATTACTATTTGGCTGAAAAATCTGGCTTATAAGTATAATGAAGCATAATGTAGGATGCCATACATGCTCACAGTCACCCCACCCACACGGCCACACCCACCAAAGAAAAAAAGAAACGTTAAGAATATCTAACTATATGTTTTCAAAATCTTTTGTTAGAATGATCTTGTTCATGGATGGGGAATGGACATGAAGCTCGGTTATTGTGCACAGGTTCAATTTCTTACCTTCGCCTTTCATCCGTGCTATGTGATTTCAGCCACTTTCTATTATTACATTCGAAGAAATATCTTCTTGTTTGTTGGGAGACTAATTGTGGTCCAGAAGTGTTGTAGGGGGATCGGACGAAAAAGGTAGGTGTTGTTGATAGTGAATACATAGTTCACCAAAGCATTCAAACTTTGGGTGGGGCGTCATCTAAAAAGGTGATTTTCCTACATACTATACTGCGAACAAATTGGGTGCTCAAGTTTTGTGTTAGCACCACTTTTGGTCATTTCAAGATATGTTAGCAATGATGGTCGATTTCCATGGACCCAAAATTGATGGCATCTACAAAAAAATGATAATATTTACTCAGGAAAAAAATGTATTATTTCATGTAAGCATATCTAAATCCATTCAACGGCCATCTTCATGCTAATAAGACTTTGTACTTTTGAACTCCTAATTTCAGGCTTTAGATCCTCATGTGTCAATGAAGGTATGCTCTTCCTTACAAATGCCTGAAATGCTTTGCCTTTTCGGCTTAATCAATATGTGTGATAATATATATACTTAATTCCATAAAATTGCTAATTTTCTCATGATGAGCAGAGGAATCCTGTTGATGCCAGATATGAGGTGAGCTTTGTTTTCGTTTAAAAAGCTTTCCCCATCTTCATCATTTTACTATATAGCGTAGCTATGATCTGCATACACTCACTCTCCCCAGACCCCATAGTGGGGTTCAACTGTGTTGTTGCATAGTTGTAAACACCCCTCACAGTCTCACTTATATAGGGATGGGCATTTAGTTTTGGTGGACGCCGTCCGGTAGGGTCCCCTGGTCGGGTACAAGTTTTGAAAATGGCAATTTCCCGTTTCCAAAATGGAGGTATCAGAACTTCTTGGGACTGACACGATTCCGGTCTGGTTCCACCAACGGGTTCTAATTCGTTTTTTATTTTTAATTACATGAATATAAATACAATTAGATAGCCTTAAAAAAAGATACAATTAGATTTTCGATTGTACAAAAAAAACATTTTTTTCTCACAAATTTAGTTTTTTTTATTAATATATACGGGTGACTAACCCTACTCGTAAACAACCCGAGAAGTGGAACATGTTTCGGTTCCAACTTCCAAGTATAGGAACCGAAACAGGATCCCCATTTCCTGTTCTGGTTCTGGAACCGTGTCCACCCCCGAGTCACTTCTGCAATGTGAATATTACTATGGCATTTAGATACGGAAGCAATCGGCGTACGAACTGCAACTGTTTGAAGAAAGGTGGCACAGAGCAGTGGAGGAGGATAAGAGGTGGGAAGATCCCTATAAACTCGCCCCAAAAATCAAGCACCTATGAAGGTTTGAACAGCAAGAGCAATGCCAATTCTCTGTTAATATCCGGGAACAAACTTCAGTTTCTCTCTTGTAAAAAAGTAGTGTTTTGTCCATCATAATCTTCTAGTTTACTATTATGAAAGACATGGCCATGTGTTATTGGGAAATCAGGAGGAAATACAAAGTAGCGTAGCAGCGTTAGAACGAGTGGTATACGAAAGCGAAGAAGACTTGATAAATGTATTCAAAATATTGTTATTAATAACATAACACACTAATGTGTATGCTTTATCAAGTATTCATTTAATTTGATATCTTAATTACACAAGGTGAAATTTGTTTAAATATAAGTTACATATGAATATAAAAATGATTTCATTAGTTTGTCTTTCTTGCATTGTTTCGAAATACAATTTCTAGAATCTAGATTATTTGTTCTAATGATTCTTTTGCTTAAATTAGACAAACTTATTTTGAAATAAAGCTAGGGTAACTTCAACATTTTGAGTTTTGCTAACCGCAAACTTTGCACAAACAAGCACATGTAGTAATTGTATGTACAACACATTAATAATTATCTATGCGTATTTGTACAAATTTGAGGTTATCGTAATCTTAAAATGTTAGAATTACCCTTGATTCTAAGCATGCGGCACGTATGGGGCAATTTTTTTCCTCAATGGTTCTTCAATATAGAACGCAATTGTTAGTTGGTGAGTGATTGAAAAAGATACACATATAAAAATCAGAAAATTAGTTCTACACAATATATCACAATGAGTGGGTGTAGGAAGTAGAATTAAGGAGTAACATATATGAGAATTTATTAATTATTTAGAAAATACATCCAAAGACCAAAGATATGCCATGAAAAATTACAATTATGTTTATGTTGTCTGATATTTAACTCGTAAAAGTTTTTTAATGCCATTTTAAAGAGGCATGATGCCAAAGCCAAACTGTTTAGAAGCTATGTCCTCCCCTAAATTATTCTAATCAATTATTAGCCTTTTGACCCTGCATCAGTAAAAATATAATACTCCGTAAGTTTTAATAAAATATTATGAAATACTCTAACTTGAAGCCGTTTCAACGAAACTAAATTAAAAAAACTCTCTCCTTCCCAAAGTAGTCGTCTAGTTTGATTTTTTAGTTAAACTGGACAAATTTTAATCACCAATTGCTCTCAATTTGTATTGCATATTAATACAATGAAATAAATTTTTGAAGGTTCTAAACAAGTTAAATAAAATCAAAATGATTTTTATACTAATATAAATCATAGTTTTCACTTAATTAGGGCTCAAAGTTCGTCCAATTTGATTATAAAAAGTCAAACGGGACGAATATTCTGGAACGGAGGTAGTAATTAATTTAATACTGTATTCTTCGGTAAAAGATTACTATGGTTTGATTTTTTTGGTCAAATTGTGGGACTCCTTTGACCACAAACTAAATATAGTTTAAAATAATTAAATATAATAAAATTTAATATTTTAAAAATATATTTTAAAATAAATCTTAATTTTACTAAATTTATATTATAATTAAGTTTAATTTTTTCATAATTCTCAATCAAATAATATTATAATTTGACTAAAAAATCAAACTATGACAATATTTTAAGAATGAAAGGATTATATTATTAGTAACATTACATTGAAATTTTCAATTCTCGTTTTTTTATAACACATCATGCATGTACCTTTTTAAAAAGGACCATGCTACACATTTATGCTAAAATTTGTACCTCAAACTTACACCAATAGTATACATCAATATATTGATGGTTCACATTAAAACAAAGTATTAGTGTGTTAACAAAAATTTACACCGACACAGAATATTGATACATTAACAAAAATTAGTATTAAAGTAACATAAAATATTGGTGCTTTGTCTTTAATGAGAAGTTTGATTTTGATTGGAGACGAGATATAATTACCGAGTAAAAAAGCGAGCCTCCATAGTTGACGTGACCGAGTTCAAAATTCGTCACGACTTTAGTTTCAGAGCGGACCAAAACCATTTCTTTCTCTCTCTCTCTCTCTAGAATATAGACTGTCTGTCCTTTCCAAGCTTTCCTCATCTGCTCCCCATCGTCCTTTTCTTCCCCCTACTCCGCCCCTCGCTCTCCAGATCTTACATTCTCTGACTGCTCAGAGGCCGCCTACTGTGCTCGAATGGCCGGACAGTTCGATCGCAATCCGTTCGAAGAGGAAGAAGTTAACCCTTTCGCTGTAAGCTCTGTTCCTTCTGTCTGTATCAGCACGCGTATTTCCGTCTGTTCTAGAGTTCGGATGCGCAATTTGACTTCGCTGCTTCTGTATTTCGTTATCTTGTGTTATCAAACTTGACTACATGTGTGCGCTTGTTTATTGGCAAATTGTGATCGGAAAATGGACTTACTAGTTCGTTACTACTGCCATGGTGTTGATCTGCCTGAAATCCGAACTGGATTTGATGTCTGTGTCACTATATGCTATGTGGTAGATTAAATGGACTTACTTGATGTGTTGTATGCTGTTTTGTTGTGTTCGCTATAACTCCATGTATATATTGCTTGGGACTCTGAAGTTGTGTTTGGTGAATGGAATCTCAGTGCTGAAACAAATCTCAAAAAGCGTGATCTGACTTTTGAATGCGAGGAAAATGATGGTTTTGTGTAGACACGAATTAAGAATACACTTGGCCAGAATTTGGTTCCTGAGTCTTTATTATGCATCTTCCTCGGGAATTTTCCACCACAATTTTCTTATTTTCCACTCAAGTAGTCTATGTGGGCATCCACAGAACATGCTGTCAGTTCTGTCTCAAATGTGGTTTAATCTTATGGGCGATGGAATTATTTTATTCCATTCATTAGTTCATGTTAACATCTCTGAATCTTGAATTTCTTATGTTTGCTAACTGCTAGGAGCAAGGAGGTAGGGGAAAATCAACAGGACTATCTACTTTTAGTGGAGGTGCATTTTTCACACCAGTAAGTTTGGATTGTTTTCATATGTATTTCAAGTTTTTGTAAACTTGAATGAAAAAAGCTTGTTAATCATATCGTGTATGTTCGGGATAAAGAGCGGCACTACAAACTGCCTTTATTAGCTAGATAATGAGTTGTCTGAAAATGAAATTGGATATAGTATGAGATTTATTTAGTATAATATCTGTACATGTGTCACAGGAAATTTATCTTGAATGCAAATATGCAGTTTGTGTTTTTACCATGATTCACCCTGAGTTTGGTCTGGGATAAAAAAAGTAATATTATCAATATATTTATTGAAAACTAATCTGTAAAATGAAAAGTATTTTAAGAAAAAAGAGTTTTCTGCAAAACAATCTCAAAATGATTTCCGTTGGAATGATTCCAATTGCTTTTATGGATAACCAAATGCAGGAAAATTTCAAACCTATAAATTTTCTTTTCCATTACCAACCTCATTGCCCCATACAAACATGCCCAAGAATATTATTTGAATTGTTAAAGATATTGTAAAACGACTTACCTTACTGTCAAATGGGTTCCTCTAATATTCAACATTTCAACTAGTTACTAAGCTTGCCCATCTTTCAGCATATAAAACACTGAAAACATTTTCTTTGGTTATCTATCCCTTATATGTATAATGTAATATGTATAGTAATGTTTCTAATCCTGCATGCCAACATATTATATAAAAGTCACTGCCTATCAACATATTTTTCAACTTGCAGAACCCTAGGAGTGTTCCTTCAGCTCTATCACCACTTCCTCATGAAGGTTTCTATAACAGCAATGCGTCTGTCGATATTCCACTAGACAAAGACAACACAACGGTGCGTTGCACTTAGGATTGATAAATACACAGCCTTCTTCATCTTCTATATCACGACGTTTTTGGCCATCATGTGTGTTTTAAAGATTGTTCTAAGGTTAAACCGCAGGATTATAAAAAGAAGGAGAAGGAGCTACAATCTAAAGAGGCGGAACTTCGGAAGAGGGAGCAGGTATGTGCTAAAATATGAAGTATGGACATAATTATCAGGGTCTGTTCTACATAATACTTTCTATTTAAAACAACTCTCTCATCTTAATGTGCATCATTCGAATCTCACTGGCCTGTAGAACTTGAAAGTTGAAATGCTACATCATTTCAGCTGGATGCTAGTTTAAACATCTGCTCAAAAAAGTGAATTAAGAAAGATGTCAAATGTACCTTCATCCCCTACTTTTTTGGAGTTTGGACTCATTTGTTTATTCTGGTGAAGATCCACAATGTGAAACAAAATGCATTATTCATATTGAACTGTTACAATTTTTAACATTTTATCAAAGTACAGAAATATGCTATGTAGGACCATGTGTATTAACTTGTTATGAATATGCTTTCTCTTTTTCTTGAGATTCCTTTTGCGTCATCCGCCATGCCCCTCATTTAAGTGATTGTACATTTGCCATTTTCTGATTTGAGTTATTCCTGTTATGTTTGTAATTTGGTTTGTTACTCTTATGCAGGAGGTAAAGCGGAGAGAAGATGCTGCAGCTCGAGGTTCCCTTTGCTGTTTTTTCGTATTCTTTCCTCTTGCTTCTTTATTACATATATTCAAGATGATTTGGTTTGTTACTTTATTAAATTGTAGTTGATTTTACTGACAAATCAAGGATGGAAAACAAAAACATTACCATATCAAAAGGAACTCGTTTCACATAGAACACATCTTTTAGAACTCTAGTTTTTAGGTGAACTAAGTCAATGAATCATTTTCAACCTTTTTCCTTTCTTCATTTTCATTTTTTTCTCGATTAACTTCATTACCATATGCATCATGCATGTCTAATTTTCTCACGCGAGGAAGTGTGTTAAAAAAATATATTCTGTTATTTAAATTTTGAATTGTCGTTGATCTGCAGCTGGCATTGTTCTTGAGGAGAAGAACTGGCCACCATTTCTTCCAATAATCCATCATGATATTGCCAATGAAATTCCAATTCATCTTCAAAAGCTGCAGTATGTTGCATTTACTACCTTGTTGGGTATGCCTCATTTATTTCCTGTATTGAAAACCAGTAATATTATTTTATCATGTTTAGCTGTTCCATTTTAGTTTGGCTCTGACACTCTGTGCATACTACTCTTTTAGAATCTACTGATAAAGTAATAGGATCATAGTCTTTTTTTGATGTATTGTGTTAACTTGGTTTAGACAGTTAATTGCAAGTTGCAACTAAACCTTATGAAATCTACATGACTACAATATTGCTGTTTGGTTGCTTTTTAATTGTTTAACGAATGTGTGTGTGTGTGTGTGGGCGCGCGCGCGTGGGCTGATGCTTAATTTTTTTTGGTGAACAGGGCTCTTTGCTTGTCTTTTGTGGAATGTAGTAGCAGTCACTACTGCATGGATCAAAGAAGGAGGTTGGTCTAAATCATTTCTGGTTTTGGTGGTATGCCAGTAACCATATTGCTTTTGACTAGGTGCTAACAAAGATACCGTTATGTTTTTGTATTTTTTGCAGATGTAAAAATCTGGTTCCTATCTATTATTTACTTCATTTCAGGGGTTCCTGGAGCATATGTACTGTGGTACCGCCCACTTTATCGTGCTTTTAGGTAACTTTTCTTCTGTGGGATTAACTTCTACCTGTCGTAGTGTTTTTTTCCGAAAAATTGTTTCTTGCAAATTGGGTGTTGGGGAGTTGAAATTGACTCCGTTATTTCAACTAAACATTTGTGGCATTACATGTTACTCTCTATATTCTACAAAAAAGTTGTGTTTGACTCCATATGATTACAAAGAAAAGTAAAATGGAGAGAAATAATACCAACAACATAATTCTTTCTAAAAAGGAAACTGACACATTATTTTGGGATGAACAAAAAAAGAAAGTGAAAACATTTTTTGAGACAGAGTCATTAGTTTTATTAGGTGTCTTTTTTTTGAACCGAAAGCAAAAATATATTAAATCACCCCATAACAAGTATACAACACATGCCAGTTGAGCCATCAGGTAAACATATATACTACCTCAACAGTACTACATGGATTTTCAACCTCATATTACACCCTTTGCATTAAAAAAAGTACTAACATGGGAGATAATCCAGTTGGTGGTATCTTCTTCATGAATGCTAATCTGTTTGTAGATTTTCCAGTTCCTCGCTCTCCAAACAGCATATACACATGCTGCGAAGATGGCATTTATCTTCCATCTGTGCTTATTGGGTCTAAGCTTCATCATTTTCTCATTCATAGCCCCAATTGAAATACCTTCAAATTTGTAGTTGCACCAGTCAAATAACTTAGCATAGATGTTGGTGGTATATTGACAGCTGCAAAACAGATGCTCACTATCTTCCTCTCCATTACTGCAGAGACTACAAGCAGTGTCCATGGGGATGAACTTGCTAAGTCTTTTCTTGGTTTGGAGTCTATCCCTGCATAGGAGCCATAATATGATTTTGTGCTTGGGTATTGATAGCTTGTTCCAGACCATGTTAGACCAGTTAGGTTCTTGTCTTTTCCCAATTAACCACTTGTAGCCATCTTTTGAAGAGTATGGGCTGTTCATCTCCATTCCTTCAAAGCACCTTCTGATCTTTAGCATTTTCTTCCAGTAGAAACATGAGTCATTTTTGATTTGGCATTCCCATATGTTATTGGTCTTTAGATATTTCCCATGAACCCATTTGACCCATAGGCTCTCCTTCATTTGGGCAATATCCCAACTAAGTCTCATAATTGTTGCCTTATTCCATAATTCAAGATTTTTTATCCCCAGACCACCATTCCTCTTNTTCATCTCCATTCCTTCAAAGCACCTTCTGATCTTTAGCATTTTCTTCCAGTAGAAACATGAGTCATTTTTGATTTGGCATTCCCATATGTTATTGGTCTTTAGATATTTCCCATGAACCCATTTGACCCATAGGCTCTCCTTCATTTGGGCAATATCCCAACTAAGTCTCATAATTGTTGCCTTATTCCATAATTCAAGATTTTTTATCCCCAGACCACCATTCCTCTTCGGCAGGCAGATTTCATCCCAAGCAACTAGAGGATGTTTTTTGTATTCATGTGAGGAACCCCATAAGAAATTCCTACATAGTGCCTGGATCTTTCTCATGACCTTCATGGGGATCATGAAGATACTACTCCAGAAATTTACAATCCTGAACAGAACAGTTTTATTAGGTGTCACATTCCTTTCTATATGCCGAGTATGATGTGTACTGAAGCACTTCTTTTTTCCATATACATGTCATTTTCTTAAACAATGTGTTGTTTCAATATATGCTCATGTTTTAATGATCTGTGCAGGAGTGAAAGTGCAATGAAGTTTGGATGGTTTTTCATGTTTTACTTGGTAAAAAATATGTGCTAAAAGTGCTAGGTTTCTAATCCCTCATATTTTTGAAACTTTTATAATCTTTGCCCCTCTGTGCAGCTTCATATTGGATTCTGCATCTTTGCTGCAGTTGCTCCTCCAGTAGTTTTCAGAGGGAAATCTTTAACGTAATCTCCTATTTCCACTTGCTTTTATACCCGTCATGGCAGTCATTTGATTATTGCTGATAAGTTTTTAAGCGCCCATTTGGAATCTGAGAAATACTAGGGACAGAAAAAACACTAACGACCCAGTTGAATCCCACAAGAGTAGGGTCTTTGGGGGGATTAAAGATAGGCTCGAACACGGAATTCAGAATATGGAATTGGAATTGGGGACAACAATTTCAATTTTACTGTTTGGTAGCAAAAAAATGAGGATTTGGAATTGGTAGTGCCAAAACTGAATTGAAATGGGAGAAGTCAATTCCATCCAAATCAATTCCATAGAATTTCAACTCGCAATTCAATTCCGTCAATTTCGTGTACCAAACGGACCCTAAATTGATTTTTCATATTTGTTCAAGCTCAATGCAATAATTTATTTGTGTAAATGAAAACTAGGAATTTAAATACATGTACATATAATACATTAAAAATAATACTCAGATACTCCGTAATATTTCAGGGGTATCCTGCCTGCAGTGGACCTCATAAGCAAGCAAGTATTGGTTGGGGTAAGTTTTATCTTTCGCTCATTTTTTTCTGCCCCGGTTATAAACTTGGTATCCATTTCGTGGGATAACTGACTGACCTATTCATCTTCAGTCCCCATGTATTCTCTGTAGAGGAAATTTTGCCCCCCCCCCCATCAAAAAAAAAAATCCCCTTGAGAAAATGGAGGGAACACCAATGTGTATAATTCGTGGATTGAAAGTGCAATATATTCCCTTTCTTACCCTTCCTCTCCATATGTTCATAGATTTTCTACTTCATCGGCTTTGGCTTATTTTGTCTCGAATCCATCATCAGTGTCTGGGTTATTCAGGTATGCCTCAAATGTCATCTCCCCTTTATATTCATGCACTCTTGCTCTTCCAGTCCCCAAGAATTTTATTTTTTTCTAATCGAGTGCCCCAAATATATTCATGCACTCTTTGCTCTTCCAGTCCCCGAGAATTTTGTTTTTACTAATCGAATGCCCCACCATTTTGCAGCAAGTGTACATGTACTTCCGAGGTAGCGGTAAAGCTGCAGAGATGAAACGCGAGGCCGCCAGAGGGGCCTTGAGGGCTGCAATATAAATATCCATCTTTTTGGGCACTGATCTATAATTACCAGATACACGAGGAGCCTAGGCACAGATGTATGCGTGTTACATATGTTAGGATTTGTTCTTCCCTATGTATGTTGTTAACCTTTAGACCCAAAGTGCCAATATAGACAAACGGTCAATTCTGCATATTTATTTTTTTTTCAAAGGGTTTGTGTGTAAATTATCCTTGACTTCATTATTTTTGTATTCTACTCCCTCCGTCCTAATGTTCATTGTACAATTAGTCCCTTCTATTTTTCAAGAATGCTGCATCCTTTGTCAAAAAAGTTTTTCCTAGCTATTATTTGCAGTCAATTTCTAATTACTCTTTTTTTTATCTATTTTTATTAGTGATTTGATAAAATAATACAATTATGTCATTCTGGTTTGTTGAATTTTTTATATAATTTTTAAATATATGATTTTTACTACATATTTTTAAATTTTATACCCATGATGAAAATAATTGCAGTTAAATTTTGCAAATGAGATTGGGATTTTTTTAGGAGGGAGCGAGTGCTTAAAGTCACTACAAGTCTGCAACTAACATAATTAAGATTAATAAACTATCTATGGAAGAACCTCTGATCATTTTTCTTGCAACTATCTTGTTCATCTCTTTAAATAGTTAAAATTAAGATGCAAGTATGTTTGCCATAAATCAACATTGTAAATAGGTTCAATTCCCCCACCCCAACCCCCTCCCTTAATCACATTGTAACATTTTGATTGTTAATTAGGAAATAGGGGGGCTGGGTTGGAGGGCCTGGGGAAGGTTTTGGTGTCTTGAGAACGCCCAACAAAGTATTGTATTCTCTCCGTTCTAATTTACTCCCTCCGTCCCTGAGTATTTATCCACTTTTGATTTTTTTTAGGTCAGAATTGGTAAATTTTGACCTCATATTAAATAAAAATGATATTAAATATTGATACAAAAATAGTTTTATTAGATTTATTACATCAAATATTTTCAAAATATTATTTTATTTAATTAAAATACAGTATATATTTTATGTAATTATAGGTCAAAGGTTGAAAACAGTTGACCAAAAAAAGTCAAAACTAGACAAATATTTAGGGACGGAGGTAGTATATTGTTTGTTTTGGTTTACGATGTTTGACTGAAATTATTTTCAATTTATTTTATATGAAAAATGATGTAAAACTTAAAATTGAAAACTACCGGAGTACATATTAAAATACATCAAAAGATTTACCAAATTAGTGATGATATAACTATTTTATTTTATTAAATGACTAACAAAAATAGTAAGAAAAAGTAAATTAAAATTAACTCTGTAAATATTAAACATGCAATTTAATTTCGGATGTAATGAGTAGGTGGCTCGATCAATTTCATTTTATAACATTAAAGTGTAATATCAACTGAATCTCATGGATAATGTATTTTTTAATATTTTTTTCCTTATTAATTTTTATTTTAAAATTTTACATTAATATTTCAACTAATCAAATAAATTGGTTAATCAAAGATTATAAAGAAGAAAGATTGGAGTAATTATAATATTAATACGGGAGTAATGGTAGTAGTAATGACGGCATACACACGAGAATGGATTTTTGGTACTCCAAAAATCCAATCCAAAATGAGAAAGGAAGAACATCAAATCAAATCAAATCAATCCCATCATCGCCCAAACATTTTAGAATGAGAATCGAATTGCAACTAGCAATAAGCGACGCATTTCTTGGTGCAGTCCACGGTGCAGCTCCCTCCGCCGCCGCCGCCGCCGTAGCCCTTCCCGGCTCTGCTGAACGACTTGAAGCACTTGGCGGGACACGTCAGCTTCTTCCCGCGACACGGCCCCTTCTCCTTGCAGACCACCGCCGGCGGCCGCACCACCCCGCCCTTCCCGTATCCGCCTCCCGGACCTCCGAAGCCGGATCCGTACCCGCCGCCGAACCCGGGTATGCTGAACCCGGGTCCCGGCCCGAAGAACCCTCCGAAGTCTCCTCCTCGTCCTCCCCCGCCGCCGACGTGGCTCGGTTCGCCGCCGTGCTTGGCCTGTGCATCGCGATCCGGGTCTGGTCGGGTCGAGGAGGTGCGGGTGGCCGTGAGGATGAGGAGGAAAGCAAGGATCAAAGCTGCTTTGGTGGATCTCATCTTCGTCTTCAATAAAGAGTGATTCAGAACTCTGAAAGTGTTTCTTTAGTATTAGAGTGGTCAGAGTAGCATTTATTAGGTGGCTTTAAAAGAGAAGTAGTAAATAAAGTCTACTCATTTTGAAATAAAATACTCCGTAATACTCATTCTCACACAAATATAAATATTCATTTAAAATAACGTAATACTCATTTTCAAATAATGGAGTACTTGTTTTCACATATTTTTTCAATATAATTATAATATTTATTTACGAATAATGTAGTGTTCATTCTGAAACAAAGTGATGCTCATTTTTAACTAACGTACCATTCATTCTCTTCAAATTTAAAATATAATCCAATAATCTAATTAAACTTACATTACTCGCATTATAACAGTCATCTTCATCGTCGTCTTCATCATCAGCTTCATGGTTGTCACTGTTGCAAATCTCCACTAGGCATATTCTTCCACAATCCACGCAGCTAGGGTTCATCGTCATCATCATCTTCTGTCAGGATCCACTACTTCATCGTCGTCGTCATCATCATCTTCTTCCACAATCCACGTCGTCGCGATTAGGAATTCTCTGTACTCTCTTCGTTCTCCGATCGACATAGCTAGGGTTTTCCATTGACGTCGCGCTGCTCTACTAATTTTCGCCGGCTGTACGATTCTTTATAGGCAATTGTAGATATAATTTGCGTCAAGGTCGGGTAAGCACAACCTTCATACTTTTTTTTGTGTACAATTTCGCTCGTCTACATTTTAGAGCCACTTAAATTCTACTACTTATATATATATTTTTCATGTCATAAGTTGTACTGTGGTAGTGTACATACGTCAATTTACCTACTTACTACGATCATTTTTAAAATAATGAACTTAAACTAATTAATACTTCTTTTACGTATAAATTAATTTTAAACTAGTTTTTAAATTATTGAACTTTTTAATGCTTTGTAAAGAATTTTAAAATAATATAAAGTATAATATGTAATAATGCGATAAAAATACGAATGTCTATATTATATAAATAGAATTTTAAATTATTTCATACTATTGTCTATATTAGTCCTAAAATGGAATTCATCCATTTTTTATTTACTCCGTATTAAAATTGTTTGGATATTTTTATATACATCAATACATGCCCTACTCCACGTCTCCACGTACCAGTTTACAAGTTTACATGCATTTGTTTGTGTCTGCTATTTAAGAGGGCGAAAATAAAAGGGAAAAAGATGTGTAAAATCATTGAAGGGTGAAGTGGGTGGCAGTTGGGAACATACTTAAGAGCATCAGCAGCGGCGATCCGTCCATATGCCACGCCCTGCCAGATCGGATGAGAAGCAAACTTTACTCGACCATTTCTCCACGATCAGCAAGGCTTATGCGAGGCATGTAAGCCTATTTTTATTCTTTTTTTCCCTTTTATTTGTGAGAAAGAATTCCTCAAAAAAGAAAAAAAAAGGAAAGGCTTATGCGAGGCATGTAAGCCTATTTTTATTCTTTTTTTCCCTTTTATTTGTGAGAAAGAATTCCTCAAAAAAGAAAAAAAAGGAAAAAAATGTTTTCTAGAAGGAAGTAGAACTACTTTTTACTCTCTGTCTCTTAATAAATTATAATTTATTCACCCCTTGATAACTTTTGTTTACTTATTATTTTTATTGATTATTTAATTAAAAAAAAATTCACATCTTTTTTTGTAGAACTTTTGATGTAAATTTTAAATTTATAAGTTTTATTTTTAATTCGTATACCAATTTTTAAATAAAATAATTTTTAAAAACAAAGAGTTTTGCATCGTAATTTTAAAATCATAATCTAATTTGAGATGAAGGAATAAATAAAAATATGGAGTAGATAACAAAAATATTTTTAATAATTAAAATATATTTAAAAAATTTATTTATTTGAGTAAATATAAATATTTTCATGATAAAAATATATAAGTAAAATAATTTTAAATAATTCAAATATGGAAAAAATATGAAAAAAAGTGATGAAAACAATGACTTGCCACTGCAAGATATGCCACTCCACTCACGTGCCACTCGTTGACAGGACTGTTTTTTATTGGTTGAAATACTTCACGTCAGCGTGTGGCATTCCATTTTTGCCTCATCATTGTTCATGCTCTAACATTGCTTAATAAATTGTGAGCAATGTTAGGTTCACAAACTGGATGCTCACAGACTTTACAAATTTACTATTTATGGTTTAAATTTTCATTTTAAAATTATATTGGACTATTTAATTTTTTTTATTGAAGTTTACAAATAGTAAGTTTGTGAAGTTTGTAACCATTGTGAACCAAAAATTCCCCATAAATTGTAGTGCTAGAGTCACAAAAACAAATGTCACAAAATATACAAACATAACGTGCTATTTGTACGTTTAAATTTATTATTTTTAATTATAAAAAACTATTTTTTCTTAATTAGATGCACATATTATAAAAATATAAATTTTGTGACCATTAGGTTTGTAACTTTAACATTTTTGAACTGCCTGCATGAGTAATACAATTGATCTAAGGATATGATTCAATTGATCATGAGGTGGAATCTCGATAGATGCAATGTGAGAGTTCTATTTTTTCTAATAACTCCTTATGTGTATTGGTCATTGGACATGAGATGATCTTTTTAAGAGCCAGAGTGTCCAAAGTGGACCTTTTACCTTTTTTTAATATTTTTGAACTAACAAAAAGATAGTTACTCCTTCCGTCTTATATCTTTCTTCTCGTTGCGCAAAACGAATAAAAATCCCAAGTTTTTTCAATTTCTTTTATTTAAATATTGGTATAGAAATAAAAAATAAAACATACATATTTAAAAACTACATCAAAAGTTCAATAAAACAAGTGGTGACAAGAATATTTTATTTTATCATATAGGCCATGAAAAAACACAAATAAATATAAATTTCCGTGAAGTTGGAATAGTGCTCTAGGAAGAAAATTTTAGGACGGAGGGAGTATAAAAAAAGATCAGCCCCATTTTCAAGGTCCGTTAGAGTGGGGCGGACCAGTAAGAGGGCAATTGAAGAGTTTGGTTGTGCTTCATTATTACGTACACACTAACTGCACACTACAATTAATATTCACGACGACTTTTGCATCCCACCAATTGGCATGTGAGTGAAAAGGAGAGAATGGGCATTTGGCATGTGAAAACAACAGGGTGAGTACCCTTCCTCAGACCAGTCCAATGATTACTGAGACTGAGAGAAGGGAAAATAGACTTTGATCAGTCCAATGATTACTGAGACTGAGAGAATGGAAATTAAACTTTGATCATAATTTATTGTTAAAAAGTAAAGCCTGGTGCAAAGACCTTATGCAACATAGTCCGTGGCGGATTCAAGGAAAAAAATTACCGGGGGCAACTTAGACTCCTTCAAGCATCGATAGTGGGAACACTACGCAGTGCCCTCAATTTTTTTACAGTGTGAATGACAAACAAATACTCCCTCCGTTCTATAAAAGTATTCCTATTTTGACTTTGTGTAAAAATAAGGAAGTGTTAAATTGTAGTTGACTTCCAATTTTGCCCTTGATGTAATGGGTAAAAGTAAGATGTGATGGATAGAATATTAGAGAAAAAATATGATGTGATAGGTAGAGTATGAAAAAGTAAGAGTAAAAGTGGTTTTTTAATAGAAAGTGGAAGTGTTTTGTTGGAAGTAAAAAAAATGAAAGAAGAAGAGTTTTTGAAAACGGATGGAGTAATTAATTTTATCTCAAATAACTATTCACATAATTAAAAAACAGAAAGCCACAATTTAGTATCTAAAATGTGAAGAATACCGAACCTGATAGTTGTTCTATTTTAAATGTTTTCACTCCCATATTCTATTTTATATAGTATTATTTTTTTCTACGTTGTTTCACACATAATAATTACATAATTTTCAAATAATAATACACTGTAAGTTTTACCAATTCTTCATAGATAATAAAAAAATAAATTTAGAAACACATCATACAAACTATACATAATACAAAATGAATAAATTAGACAAAATTGACCTAAAGTAGAGACCGTTGCAACCTACGATGCCGCATGGGTGGTGAAAAAAATACACTATAAAGAAATAAAATCTTGGGCTTCGTCACCAAGATTATGTGAGACTTATTGCTAGGTATTTTAAAAATAGAATGGGGGCATATATTATTTTGAATGGGGGCATAGATCAAAATTCATCCAATTTTTTTAATATTTTCAATTATTACACTGCATCCATAGTTGTCTTCCAGGGTCGCTACCCGAAATCAAACTTGAATATTATCCTCTTAATACTCATTATATTTGCCAACTGCGCAACGACTGCCGATATTTAGGGCATCTTCTTTAGGGCTTGAACTCTTAACTTCCAGCTTCTTCCAGTTCCTTCCAGTTTTTTCCAGTTCCTTCCAGTTTCTTCTAGTTCTTCCAGTTTCTTCCAGTTTCTTCCCGTTCCTTCCAGTTCCTTCCAGTTTCTTCCAGTTTCTTCCAACTTTATTCATTTTCTTCAAATTCTTTCTACTCCTCAACCAATTACTCTAAAAATGATACATTTCAATTGATTATTATTATTATTATTATTATTATAATTATTATTATTATTATTATTTTTATTATTATTATTATTATTATTACAACTATTATATTCATAACTGTAGTTTATAAATTATTTTTTTCATCTCACTATTTTTACGATTCACAGTTATTATTTTTTTCGTCAACTTTTTAATATGAATAAGACATTATTTGTATATTAGTCTACATGATAAAACAGGAAAACATCAATATGCTAAATTATACTAAAAAATTATGGATAAAATAGTTACATTGAATGTTTTATTAATATAACTTTTATAAGACATCTCAGTTTTCCCTTTATTACTTAAAAATTGCTCATTTTTCTAATTTTTATAAAAAAAAAATTGTAAGTCAAAAGAGCTTAGAGAAAAAGACTAAAATATGAGTAAAACATAAAAAATGTAAACAAAAAAGTTTTATGTGTTAATTCCAAAAATAGAAATTCAATGAAAATAAAATGTCAATCACAACAATAGGTTTGATTATGTGACAT